CGATCAACTTCACAAACCTGACGAGCCGACAACTTCCGCTGCTACTGCTCCACGTGGGTTAATGCTATTTGTGGCTATTACACTAAAGTTCAATGCTTTCTAGAAAAAGGGGAGCTTGGCGTAGGTTGCCTATGCGGGGTCTCCCGAAAGGAATCTCTGCGCAAGACTGAATTCGCCGTTGTGAAGATCATAGTTCTTGCCCGAAGCCTAGGAGGAAATAGCTTGGATGAACCAATTTCTTTGTGCAAATATGGGATTTTGCAAGACTACTGTCCCAGTTTTGTACGAGCGGCTCTCGAATGTCCCACTCCCCTGGCCAACTTACCGTAGGAGGTTTTCGTTCGAACTTAGCGGAGGTGTTGTAGTGGCGAACATCGCTGTCATCACACGCAGGCTCTGTGGATCAAATCTCGCACCCTTCGGTGTATCTATCCTCCCAGTCAGTCGAATCTGAACCAACTCTTCCTAAAGGACAGAACCACCGGTCAGCCCCACAGTTCAATCTATAAGCTGAGCTACGATTCCAAATTGAGATACACTTCTTATCCCTGATACGGAGTGGGCGTGGCTTTTGAACATGGCATAGAATTGGTTACTCGGAGATATTTCAATTTCAGACAACTGCTTTCTTGTTCTATGTTGGACAAAGACAAGACTGGACAGATTACAACTGTTCCCAAAATGAGAAAATCTCATGAAAAGCTTGGCCGCCCCTGCGTTCAATTCAAGTACGCAGCCACGCCTACCGCATCTGAGAGAAGTATAGTAGCGTAAAGCATATCACTGAGGTGCTGATCAGCGTCGAGCGTATTCTCTTTCGGCAATATTTTGGTCTAGAGTGCCACGCGATTTCCTAACCATTGTCGTTTCATGAGATGCCATACGACGCCGTTCTTTAACACGTGGTTTGTTGGACTCCGAACCCTTTTGGACTAGCGCCATCCTTTGATCGTACCGCTTCAGCCGTAGGAAAACAGCCATAATTTAAGGTGCGATCGATCGCGCCGAACGCGCGACCGAGACGCTGCCTCGCTAAGTCTGACTGCTGCCTTACGCTTGTCAGCGTTGCCCGGAGGAAACGACACATTGGTTCCTTGGTCCCAAACAAGTTGGTGATAAGGTGTTGGATTAAGCACCTGTGCTACACTCTAGTTCTCTGCGGACGGTTGGGCGTGTCAGCCAGTATGAGTGTGTCACCCTATCAGAGCCGTTCTCTGCCTTCTTGTTGAAGAGCGCATGCGACAAAAAGTGGTAGAAAACGAGTAATACGAAGCATATGATACAGTATTGTCACTTGCCCGCTTCAACAATGGTGTAGAACGAGTTTGGCACCGCCAAAAGCAACCGCCCTGACACGCCCAAACGCAGTAGTAGCGAACTACAGTATACATCAGTGGTTCTTCGGAGCTTTTCGGGTTTGTCCCGCGCTATGTGTTGTCACGACGCTCAAAGGCAATTGGCGTTATATTCTGGTAATCTGTCTTAAATGGTAGCAGGGGTGCTAAATAGCGACGAAATGGCGAAAAAGCGAAGTGAAACGGTCAAAAACCTGCAAAAAGCCTTTGTTCTACACGACTCAAAAAGCAATTTCGGACGAGTTTCCCGTTGGCATCGTGCCAATAACCGCTACGGTAGATACGGCTGCACGTATGTACTCATACATCCATGCAGCATCGCAGCCCCTTTAAATCCCTTAAGCCCTATATTGTACTTCGCAAATGAAGGGGTTAGGAGCATCACGATCGGTCGGACACTTATTGCGGGTGGACGCGGTGGGCGTCCGGGTCGGTATGTTGCTGCATGATGGGGTCTGTAATAAGTAGACCTTTCCGAAAAAAGCGGAGCGCTTGCTCAGGAGCGCCGAATTCTGCTAGACGCATTAGTCCTATATGTCATGGAGGTTTATCGTACCAAATGGCTTCAACTTGAGCTTAGCTTTCTGGATTCTCATACTGTTGTCGAGCATCTCTGTAATTCATTGTAAATCATAACTATAAAACTTGTTTACTGGGGTAAGAAGCTGTGTAGTGGGCGAAGTGGCCGCATCTAGATGGGCGTGATCCGGGGCCACAGATCCTCAGATTAGCTTCGCCGCACGAGACTAACGATTCACTCACTACCCGTATCGGTAGAAGCAGTGCGAATACGTGTAGGACGGTAACACTGAAGCCGAATGGTAACACGACTGTGAATCGGGATTAGAATACAAGCCGCATCTTACAAGGGAACAGTTTGAACTTCCCATGGAACAGTGGAGATGGAGACCTAGGTGATGGTCGACTAGAGCTCGACATCTTTATCTACTCAATATCGCAGATTAATAGGCTACGGAGACCTCCAAGACCGAGATATGTGCTCAAAGTTTGCGAAACTAGTTTTCGGCCTAGTGAGCCTGCTGCATCCGTGCTTCGGCGTGCCACCAGTGGCTCTCGTGGTAATGGTCCTCGTTTTCCCAAGTCGAAACACATCACGGGTTTGCACAGCCGGTTGCCCCGTGAAAATTTTTTGCTGTCGGCTCTATAAGAGCATTCAACTATATATTTTCGAAATTCTTCCGAGTTTAAGCCAGCAGGGCAAGTAGATCAAGTATATGACGTACTCGATCTAGTATGGATTTGGTCATATCTGCCCTCTCTGAACATATTACCCATCCGACAATTCAAAGTTTTGCCCAGAATCGCAATTTGGCCAGACGAGCGTTTTTTCGTCGAAGGATGTGATATTCGTGTTCAGGGGGGTCGAAGATCTCCGATGACGAGTGATCTCGCGTAAAAGCTTTGAATTGTCGGATGGGTAACCTGTTCAGAGAGGGCAGATATGACCAAATCCATACTAGATCGAGTACGTCATATACTTGATGTACTTGATCTACTTAGCTACTGGCTGGGCGATATTCGTAATAAGCATTTCGAGCTCTTATCGATGTACCTAGGTCTCCAATCAAAGTTCGCATGGGAAGTTCAAGACCCATTGCCGCTTGTTAGAGGATGGTAATACCCACACTCTGATGATCCTATTTCGTTCGTGCGCATGAGGTGAACAAATGCATAGCTGTAGACGTATGGTCACTTTTCCTCACTTGTCGAGAGTCACCGAAATGGGCTGGAGAGTAGTCACAACCAGTGCCGGCTTCAACACTCCCCGCAGGCAAACACGCCACACTCAAGGTGTGCAACGATAGTCAGCCCGCAAAAAACTGCACCGGCGAGTGCAAGGCGTTCTGTGACGTTCCACGGCTTTACTGTCGCACAAGGGCTCTATCGCAGCGAAAAACAATAACAGAAGCGGCACTGTAACAACCTGAAGACACAAGGCTATACGAGCAATTCTGGCACTTAGGCCCTTTGTCGATAAATGATCAACAGAAGGATAAAGGGGGAAGGCAAAAAGTAACAGATGATTACTGATTAAGAGCACTAGGAACGGCAGCCAAAAGCTTTTTCCTGGAATGGGCTAGACATTTCTCAAAAGACATGCTGATTCTGCTCCGGTGTGATTTCCCCTACTGGCATATTAAACAGTGTGGCGCTCGGCCCAAAGACTGTTGGTGAAGCATAGTGGCTATAAAAGAGCTAATAAGCAGAGATAGATTAAATATCGCAGTGATGCAGTGCTGTCGGGTCCGGCCCTTCATTGCTCCGGTCGTCAGCGGCATCCTTCAGGCAGCAGCGCGCATTGTGCGCCAGAGTTTTTTCTCTAACCGCCACCATGACAGATATAACCACCTACTCATAGCCAGATGCACCACTGTCTGCCCCCCCCCCCCCCGCCTCCCCATCTCCCCACATTTGCTACTTCGCTCCGTATTGTTCGCTGGCGGAGTCCTTGGTGGATCTTGTATAACCAATGTGTCCCACGTTCTACAGTCGTCATCCTTGCACTTGATAGGGGCGTGTCGGCGAGAAGGAGCGTGCACACTGTTTGAAGCCTTCTCAGCCTTTTCGTTGAAACGCGTATGCGACAAAAAAGTGATAGAAAACGAGTAACACGAAGGATATAATACAGTAATGTCACTCTCTGGTTCAACGATTGGTGCAGTACGGGTGCTGACGACCGCGCCGCACGCAGCCGCACTGACATTGACTATCAAGTGCAAGGATGACGACTGTAATTAGACCGGGTAAGGTCCGAAACAGCATTCCTACTACTGGAACCCTCCAGCTTCTTTCTTACGCACATTCACAGCTGCGGACCCGTCCTTCTCTTCCTAAGGGACCATCTTGCAGCGTATCTTCAAAAAAGGGACTGATCAACTGCGAAAGCTATCCTTTTTTAAACTGTTCACTATGCAGCTACATAACAAAGCACAACTAAATGAAACAAGTCCTTTCAAAAACTGGAGTCTTGTTAAGAATCGTCGAAACCGAGGAAGCGGGTGAATAGAACAGCAGATCGAGGTGATGTAGTGGAAAGACAAGAAAAGAGACCAAAACGGGAATCAGCACTGAAAGCCACAGAAAAGATCAACAAAATTATGACAAAGAGGAAGAAGGTCCCACGGCAGTCAGGTACTATTTTATTCTTCGGACAGTGGAATTCATAAGAGCGTTACGATTGGTCTGCGCCAAGAATGAATGAACACTTCTAATAGGGAGTAGGTCATGAGCTTCAAGATTGTGCTAGTATTGTGCTATACGACCAATCCAGTATTTCCTAGCTAGTTAACGTAATCTAGCTATTCCTCGTCTAATCATTCTGGTCCTGTGGTGAATATCAGGACCAAACCTGACTCGACACGCATGGCGCTACTTGACGCGCTTCTCTCATCGCGTCGCCGTCGAACTGCATCAACATCCTGCACCGCGAGGTGGGGGGAGGGGTGGGTGGATCGCGGGTTCATGAAAATCGAAGAATCCGCGGAGTAGGTCTTCCTAGATCCGTGGTGTCGGAAAATCTGGGCAGTGGAGACCTGGTGAATCGGGAATGCACAAAGAAAGACGACATGCATCGATTGACTTCGCCCAGCCGGAGAAAAGGCGAATCGGAGAAATCAGAGAAATGGGGAATGGAGCAGATCTTGCAAAACTGAAGGATCGGCGAATGGGGTATGTGACAAGAGGATCGTGAATCATCGCGCTGTGGGCGTCGCGTGCGACGTCGCGCCCGCAAATGACGATGGTTCCAGGTAGAGATGGCGACAACAGGCAATTCAGAACCGAAAATAGTCATGAATGTACACGATGACGGGGTCTACATGAAGTCCGGTGCTCCAATCGACAGGTTAACACGAGTTAAGAAAACGCCGCGCCCATCGCCGCGCGCGGCGAGCGGCAATTACGATCCTCTTTACCGTCTCCCGGGTTCCTATCATCCAGGGCATTGCGAGAGCTTATCTTCTTCTACTCCTCACTATTTGATAAATTACCACCTTGTCAATAGTAGTTGAGGCCCACCACCATTTTCAATCAGGAGATGAGCCTTTGACATTTCCATTGGTAGAAAAAGACCTGAAACACGTCCGTGCATTGAAAGGGCCATATGAGATCAGGG